GGCCGTACTACTAGGAGCAAGGACGCTACTATGGGCTCCTGGCCGTAGTACTAGGAGCAAGGACGCCATTAGAAACCAAAGCCGTGCTTTTTGGGATTTCAGCGCCAGGATGGCCCGGTGGCAACGCATGGCCGACGGCTGAATGAGGCACCGAGCGGCTGAGTCAACCCGCTCAAACGAGTGTTTGGGCGATGTCGGAGTCGACCGGACCATGGCCATGTGTATTTGAGGTGGATCCCTACGGCTTCATGGTCAGATGGTACTTGGACCCTCCCAAATGCACCCCAAACACCTGAAGAGGAATGTTTGAGCAGGGGATGTGTGTGGTGCAAAGGAGGCAAGTTGATGCAAGTTGGGTGTATCCACTCAGTCCAAATGTCATGCAAGAGTTGTAAGATTATGCTATTTATGACTGTCTTGGACATAGAGCCATGTTTGTTTGTTTGTTTGTTTGTTCTTAGGACAGGTCATCATAGAGAAATGGGTGCCATTCACCCAGTGACCCAGGTTGGCTGAAATCAAGCCAATGGAGACATGCAAATATGAAATACAGGAGTGGCAACAGCCAGATAGGCCATAGCCAGCTGCAACAGTCTTGGACAGTGAGTCTTTGGGAATGGAGTATGAGCCGGCTTCGATCGGTCGTCAGACTGGAGCTGCCAGGGGCCAACCACCGTGGAGCTGCTTGGTGACGAGCAGAACCTGTGGAGCAGTGCTCTGAAAAGGAACCTCTTGGGTCAACTCATGCAGATGAGACAAAAAGAACCACGCACAAAAAACACCATCCTTCATGTCATGTCAGAAGCTCCGCGGAACATCATGGGCCATCATGGGGCTTCGTTTTCTTGGCGGTCTTTACTTTCATATCCCACACATTGGCAGGAAATCGATATAGGCTAAAACATAACGGGCAAACCGGAGCCACGGAGTGTGTCGCTCAAACCTGGAAGCAAAGGTTTGGTTGCCATTCTGTCGGTGTGAAAGAAGTGCTCGCAGCCGCCCCTTGACCTGTTCCGGGACAACCAATGTGAAACACCTCATCCAGCCTCATCATATGATCAGGTTTCAACGAGAAGACTGAGACCCATGCCCAACGACGCACTTAGGAGAAACAGTGCCGGGTCAAACCAATCAATAATGCAGTTGACATATGCATCCAAGACAGTGCGAAAAGGAACATGACTGCCTGTCCAAAAACATCCGGCATTTGGGGCGATCAATCACAGGGTGAAACTTGAAATCCTCCCAAAATGTCAGCATGCCAGCTTTTGCCTCATTTACCCTAAACTTCACACCGGTGTCCCAAGACTCATTGCACAGACACTTGCTCCGCCGGTAGAAATCGAGATTTGGATTTGGAGCATCGCTGAGGTTGGGCTGTTCAACCCAGGATTGCACGACCCAATCCAACCTTTGCTCGGCCCACCCAGTCAGTCAAACGGCCACTGGCGAGGGAACCCGCGTGCGGGTTTGGAGGAGGTGCGATATACCAGGTTCAGGGTGAATATATGTTTCTTTTCCCCGTGGTTTGTTTCAATCCTATACCCTCCGAGCTTGCCCAACATGCTGGGGAGAAGACGTGTCAACTTGAAAGAACTCATCGATTTAGATGTTTATTGTTCTTGTGTGTGTTCCGGAAAGCCTACCGACAGCATTTTGGGAGCAGGTCAAATCCCGGGGTTGGATATGGCTGTCCAGGAGCCACCACGCGTACTGAAGTGCTGGGTTCAGATTCCACGGCAGGTTGGTGATGGTGATGGTGATGATGGTGATAGTGATGGTGATGGTGATGCTGCTGCTGCTGCTGATGATGATGATGATGATGATGACGATGATGATAATGACAATGATGATGATGATTTTCTTGCTGCAGTTGAAGCTGACGTTAATGCCGAAGATGATGCTAATGTTGGTGTCTTTCTAATGGCCACCATCCCTTCCAGTGGACATTGCTGGTGCAGATTGCGTTGTTGAAGGATACGTATGGGTTTGTGTACTCTCAAAACCATCAATGGAATACTGATGAATACTGCCACTTATTTGTTTCTTTGCAGGGACTCAACCATTCACGCTGATGTGAAGTAGCTTGGGTTACTTTGCTCCTTCCACTTGCCATCACCTGCCGCACCATGGTCAACTGCTCCAAAACAACCATCAAGCAACCTCGAAGGGAAATGCAGTGGCACATACAAAAAAGAGGGGAGTTGATGGAGGCTCAAAACCTTCCCCCTTTGAGCCTTGGGGTGCAGGAGGACTTTGTTGACAAGCACAGCCCAAGAGTGCACCCTAGTTACCACCCAGTCAAGCGGTTAATATCGTTGCCTAATACATGGAGTGTTTGGCGATTGAATACCCTTACCCGTGTCGTCGCCTGGTTAGATTGAAACGACAAAGACATTTAAACACACTTGTTGGCAGATGCTGGAATAGAAAATACTATTCAATTGTTTTTTACTCAACAAGGGTCCACCCAGCTGAGAGATTAGAAGTGCTTGGGAGAGTCTTTGGGAGTGATATGATGGGACCCCATATGGATCCTTAATGATCCTTTATGTGCCATAGTAAGATATGTGGATCACCCCCAAGGGTGAAAATCTGAGGTGATGCCTTCTTCAACCGTGGTGGCACCGCCGAGGAGGCGAAAGCCAAGTCGCCGAAGAGGACCCTCCTCCCCTTGCCACCTGATGGAAGCCCCCCCTTTGTTGGCCGCTTTATTCGACTCAACTGGGGTAACGAAAGAAGCAGCTCTTTCTTTTGACATCGTTTGACCCTGACACATCCTCACACCACTCCCATGCAGCTCAAACTACTATACGCCAGTGTTTGGCTATAGAAACTCACCAACGTCCTTTGTGTAGTAAGTTGTTTGAACATGTTTTTTTGTTTGTTTTGTGAGATTTGTGAGATCCTTATATTATGTGTTTATCGGCAAACTGTTTCGAAGATGGCCTGGAATGCCTGCCGGTCAGGGGCTCGTTCACCTCGTTCCGGTCTGTTTTCCCACCACGCCCCTCTTCCTTCAGAGCCGGAGCCGCAGTTCATCGATTCCCTCGTGGAGAGCCACAGCTACGACGTCCTCCCGTGGGACAGCGCAGATCAGATTTGCACCACGGCGAGGGAGCGCCACGGAGTGGGGGGGGCGAGGAGGCCGAGGCAGCTTGAAAAAAGCGCTGGTGGATGAAGGAAGACATTCACCCAGATAATCCCAGGAGGGGGTTACGGTTGACATCATGTTTAAAGCTACTTACATTGAGGGTGCCGATGTCTTTTTTTGCGCTGCTTTTTGCCTACCCTTCCCATACACACACAGATCACAACAGTGGCAAAAGCGCTTTCGCCAATTCAATATGCTGCCTCACACCTACCATTTCCTTGCCCCTAATTCCGTTTACATCAAGCTCCAATTCAACCTCCATCTCACCCAATGCTTTTATCATCAAAACGGACATTTAGTTTCTACCTTGGCTCCACAGCCATCGGCGTTCCACACCGTGAACACAACCGCAGAGCCAAGCTCAAGCAACTTCAAAACAACATCCATCAACATCCCAATCTCAGCAGGACTCTCCCTCCGCTACTGGCACACTGACAACACGATCGACCAATTTACCACCATCCAACTCTCCTCCCATGCTACGATCAAGCATGGGTCCACGAGCACAACCACATTTCCAACTGGACGCCTCCTCTAAACTGGCCTTTCATCTCTCAGCGCCTCACACTGAAGGCCCAAGGATGGCAATTCACCAAGCACCGAGCCCACTTTTACTCCTGCTTGGCTACCCACAGACGTCTTCTCCCACGCCTCCGCCGCCGACAAAGCACCTTGCGGGAACCTCACCTTTTCACTTCCACCAAACATCACGCCCTTACCCTCCTCCGCTAAACACACTGCCAATTGTTTGAGGGCGCCAAGCAACTCCGCAGCGGCCGCGTACAGATCTCGAACTCTTTGCCGTACGCCGGATGGCCTCAAACCTTGAGGAACCTGGCCGCGCGAACGCACTACAGATTATCCACAAAGCGATGCTCTATCGCAACCTCACACCACCACGAACCAATATCCCTCTTACCATCCCCTATACCTGGCACATGACACTTTCAACTCCAACACCCTACAGCACACCCTGCAGCCAACTCCACACTGTCCGCCAACGACACAGATCTCCCCTGCGCATGCACACATTTGAAGACATTCCTTCTTGGTCCTCACCACCCCGCCACAGACGGACACTACATCCTTACTCTTGACAGCATCCTTCTGCCTCCACACCTTCGCATCTCCCTGGATGCCAACATGAACAGCACTTTCTTCCCCGCCAAAGCCCGATACTACCTCCAGGAATATACCTCGGCGACAAAGTGGTCCTACACCACGCTGATCACGAACTCCAGCTGCTCCGCATCTTTTGACCTCAGCAGTGCCCTCAACACATGGCGCGCACTGGAGCTCTTCCAACCCATGCCTCACCTCACTCCACTTAACATTACTGAACGCCTCCAACAATCCCCGCCAGCCTTTGCGCACGCTACAAATGGGGATTCCGCAAAGACTTCACCATCCCCTATTGCATTGTGCACCTAAAAGAGAAGAAACAATGGCGCAAGAGCAGAACTATCATTTCATACTACCACTCCCTCCACGCCTACCTCAGACAATGTCCCAGCCGATATCGCACTCCACGCGACCAACGATGATCTCGTTGGTTTCTTCAACTCCGTACGACAGCATCGCCTTCTCGAGGCAGTTCACAGCTTGATCCAACACTGGCAACAGCAACAGTCTACCGCTACACTCACCATCGACATCGATGCCACCGGCAATCCGGGCCCTACCACCATGCCCACATCGGCAGGCACCATCTCCGCCACCCCACCCAACACACACTCCATGTAACCGACATTACAACCATATATAGTTGCTTTCGCCCTCAGCACCTGCATTTTCCGGGCCTGCAACCACACATACAAACAAACCCGTTGGGATTGGCTCACCGGCCCTCTGCAATGTTGCCATCACTCTCATTGAACATGCTTGGCACCAACTGCGCAACAACCTTCTCCACCACACGAACCTCCATTTCAACTACTACCGCTACGTGGGTTTCATCACCCGCAACGAACATTTTCTTTCCCACCCAGCTATCCAAACACTCATTCGCCAAGATTTCTTTGGTGACCCCATTGAACTTGAAACGGTCGAGGACTTTCACCTGCTGGGCTTCAACATCGACCTGACAACCCGCGCAATCACCTATATCCAACCCTCACAGCCTTGGAAAACCCGTGAAGTCGCATCAGCCGGCAGCCAACGCCTGGCCCTCTCGGGACTAGCTGACTAGCCTTTACCGCATCCACACTATCTACCAGTGCCTACCCCTCTACCGCCGCTGCTGCAGCGGCTGAACACTTGATCAACCTGTACATTGGGCATTCCACAGCAGAGTGTGGACGCTCTTTGAAGCACAAAGAATTGCCACCTGAGCCAGGGAGCGCCGCGAAGTGGCCAACTGTGTGTGTGTGCCACACTCTGTCTCTAAGAGTTCTTGTAACAACCCCAAGTCATGACGCAGGGGGCGCACGGGTCTGCAGTTTCTAGCGTGAGCCAACGAAGCTCCAGGCGCGGACTAGGATATCGAGAGGGGACGCTCTTTCGAAGTACCTGCGTCCGACACACTGACACCATTGGTCCGCCCTGCCACTGTCTTTTTTTGCTTTCATGGTGAGTCATGATGTACCCCCAAACCTTTTTCCCGCGGATTTGCAGCTGCGTCGCCGCTGAGTGTTTCTGCAGTCAAGTGAAACCGCCACTGTTCAAACATTCTGTTTCCGCGGGCTTAGCCACCATTCCGCTGCAGCGCCCATTTTCTCGTGGATTATCTTACTGGATAAACCTGTGACTAAGTGTGTGTGTGTGTGCGTGTTTGTGTTTTTGTTGCTAGTTTTTACTCTTTTGTTTGTGTGTTGTTTGTTTGGCTTGGTTCGGTTGTTTGGTTGGTTGGTTGGTGTTGTGTTTTGTTTGTTTGTCTGTCTGTTTGTTTGTTTCCCACCCGCAGAAAGCACAAAGGCCAGCACATGGGCGAGATGTGTTTCATGTCTCTCGGAGATGCTGAGACGTGCCTCGGCCAAAAGCAAGCGCTGCAGGTGAAAGTAATATTCTTTGTCGAATTGGTGACCCATGTTGTAGAACATATGGTTTCTTTTTTTTTCTATGAAACCCATCCTCCACGATCAACATTTTTTGATTTTCAGGAATTTCACATAGCAGTCTTGACCATATTATTGTACTTTGAAGGAGTCGAGTCGGGAGTCGGGGAAATGTCAGAAGGTGGGCTAAGAGGAAATAAACCTTCACTTCATAGAGAAGACATTTTAAACCTCAAATCCTGACTCTATATCAATAATTAGAGATTCTGAAATCACTATCAATATCTATCAATAGATTATGTTACAACAATGGAAATTGTGAACAAAAACGACAAATGTTTAAAACTATGAAACAAAAATGAATGATTCAGAAGGAATGACATTGTAGTCTATATTAGTAAGAATGCAAACAACACATAGTACAACAGGAAAGGAGATCATTGCGAATCATTTTTGCGATGGCTCCACCTGCCGGATTTCCGCACATTTGCTCTCTTTTGGTTTAACTATCAAATCAAGGTCCTCAGAAGGTACTTTTACAATACTCGGCCGTGTTCATACATGGAAGCTCGAGGGCGGGTTCCACTCGAATTCACAATGGGATGGTAAAATGAAAGTCATGAGTCATATAAGTTGAACAGAACATGCTCGAAGGAAATGGTTTGGGGTAAGGGCAGGGTTCGTTTATTCTAGGGTGAATTGATTGCAGAAAGGACTGTGCCACTGAGGATGTTGTTAGGAAAATCACAGTACTGATGGAGACCGTCCAGGGTCTGTAAAGCAAAGTTAGGGCGGTAATTAGATATAATTGTAATTAGGTTCAGTGCTCAGTGTCGGATGACCTTGAAATACATAACCTAATAGCGATGGCCTCCACCTAGTAGCTTCTTGTTACTACTAGCGATGGCCTCCAACCTAATAGTTTTTTTTGCATTTTTATTGTTGTGTTTGGACGTTCTTGGGAGGTTTATGGGAACCGACAACAACCGGAGCCGCCACTGGTTTGAGGCCAGGTCTCCTGGTTGACCCGGCGAGATCCTGCCGTTGCCAACCGTCGTAGGAATCCTTTTGGGGAGGTCAACTGGCATGTGCAGGTGCACCAAGTTGTCCAAAGCATATTCCTGGGGAATCTATCATATGTGCATGGAGTAATTACCGTGTAATAACGATCGCATGGGTCATTAATTCACTTCTGGTTGGAACCCCGCTATACAGGAGATGAACGCCCGGATGAAACCCTAAACATGAAGACACATCAAGACAATATGAATCACAAGTGACGATGGAATCATCATTAACAACAAATCCGCATTAAATCGATGGTGGCTTGACATCATTCGTCGATCATTCGTCGATGTTTGTCGTCTTGTGGTCCTGTACTACATGGTGGATCCACCATGATCCACCCATTCTTCCCATCTAGTAGCAAGGACGCTACTCGGTGGAAGCTCGCAACCGTCGAACGACGGTTGCGTCCTCGCTACCGAGGGCAGTGAGGGACGCCACCTACTCCTCCAACGACAAGATCCCATGGACCGCCGGCGGGGGACCGGACGTGATCAAGCATCTACATGACACAACCGCACTGGCAACAAACAATTACCAAACGCAAGCTAGCAATGTCAGTACGCAACTTGATTATTGGATTCTCTTGCCCTAGGGATCTAGACTCCAGGTGGTATTTGTGGAGGCGATGGTGATTCGTTCAGGCACAGTTGGACACACTTCTAGTCCTCGAGCCGACAACCAAGTTGTTGGGATTATTGAAGGGGTGTTGGTGCTGATAAAAGATAGCTCGCATGGTAGTGCCTGAGCCATGCGCTTGTCAAAGGGTACCGCGTGAGTTTTCCAACCCAAATGATCCTGTACCAGCATTGTTTGATTAGACCACCAACTTGCACCGTCACTGGTGATGAAACCAACCATCCCAAGAATACCTACAATATAATTTGTTTGTGGGAGGCAGCTGGTGTCACGGTTGGGGTGTTTTTGTTGGCTTTGCTTTTCTCAGGGTGCCGTCCTAGATCTGAAAGTCTCGGCAGTAGGCTATAGGTAAATGGAGGCCTAGGGCAATACATTTTGTTAAATGGTTGTGTTGTGTTTTGGGATTTTTGTTTTGCTTCGTGAGCTGGCGTTTGGCCTTTGTGGCGTTCATGGGCGGCTTTTGGCTTTTGTGGCTTCTGTGGATTCTTGCTTGTGGCTATTGCTGTGGAATTTGACTTCCTTGTGTGGCTTCTGTGGCTTTGTGGGCTTTGGCTTCGGTCGGCTCTACCTTCTATCATCTTCTATCACAGTTGTCCCTTCAATGTTGCACTGGAAACGCTTGGCTAAGCTCTTGCAATTTTGCCGGAGTGTTTGCTGCTCAAAGTGACCGCGCTGTGATGAGTGAGCAGCTACTGTAGGCCATCGTTTGTTTTTTTGGATGTTTGTTGGTTTTACAAGTTGGCATTTGGCTTTTGTAGGTTCAATAGCTTTTGTAGCCTCTGTGGCTTTGTGGTTTCTATTGCGTTTGTTTTGGGTGGCCTTTGTGGCTTCTGTGTTGCATTGGTGCACAGTAGGAGCAATGAATGAATAAAGCATAGTTGATCGTATTTGTATGTGCATATGATATTACAATACGATATATATATACAGGGTCTATCCCATTATACCTGTAAAAGTCGGTAAACAATTATCACTATTTTAGAGAAAGGCCTTTACCGGCCATCATCATCCACTGTTGCTGGTAGTAGACCCTATAGATTTATACACACATGTCAACGGCCCATAGGGAGCAGCCTAGCAAAACCACACAAAAACAATAACAACATCCACAATTCACATTGTAGCCTAGGTAAATTGTCTTAAGTCTAGCTCAAGAGGGTCACCGCAGTTTGTCGCTAATTCGCCGATCACTGTAGGACCTACCCCATTTGTTGAGAGTATTTCTTTGTCCTAGGCTCCTCCAAACAAGATGTGTCATTTCGGATCTTCCGCATGCCACATGACAAAGTTCTGAATGACCGATCCCTTACCTCCCTGCTGTCCAAAGCAACTGAGAAGGGGACTTAGAAGACAACTCTTTGCAGGATTGACAGTTGGTGTAGCCAGATGACGCAAGCGGAGTTGGACAGTTGCGTTTGCTTCTTGGCTAAGGCTGCTTCTGTCCCCCAGTGCTTTTGCTGATTTGGATTTATGGACCTTTAGCTTTGGACGAAGTGGCGAAAAGCGGTCCGAGTGGGAACCGTGGAGAACAACATGATTGAACTCGTACCATCCATTGACATCCACGTATGGAATGCTTCACTACTTTAGATTAGGCTCAGAAATGTGGTAAATGACGGTAAATGTATGTATACGTATGTTGTGTGCAACTTTTCTACATGGATGGTTTTGGGGAATGATCCTGCCGAATTCTCAAGGACTGGGAAACGGAGTCTTCCATGCGCGACCAGCGGTGGGGATACTGAAGTTTGTTTCAGGACGGGCTTAGCACATTGTCGTGAATTTTGAGCGGCAGCTGCTATCCTATTTGTGGCCTGACAGTTTTCAAGTTTTCAGAGCCACATACTCAATTGATCGCCGTTTGGGGTGAACATGATCAAAAAACTGTCCGGAGATCAGTATATCCTCAACCCTGCTACCTTCAATTGTGAATTTAACGAAGACTTCATAGGACGGATTTCGAGGATTTCCAGGCGAGTCTCCAGCAGAATGCGCACACAAAGAACCCTGCAGCGCTACGGCTTGGGTTTCAAAGCTCGACTCAACAGAGTCAAGAAACATCTGCGAAAGAAAGGATGATGTGGAAAAACGGCAGTGAATGACTTCAACATGTCTTTCCCGACCCTCCTGTTTTCGCCATAGGAAATGTTATGTTTTCTTGCTTGTTATTTTTCATCATTTTCTTTTTCGCGACACGGGGGTTCTAGGTATATATACACATCCAACCTTATGATTTGGTCACTGACTGCTCCTAAAGCGGGAACCATCAACTTGGAGGGAGTGATTCAGATGGTGTGGGGGTTTGGCAATCCCCAAGCGATCCTGAAACACACAGCGTTGACAACCCCAGATCTCAACACGAAAACCCTCAACACACAGCGTTGGTCCAGCAGAGACAAGCCTCCTTAGATCAATCAGACGTTGCAATCCGATCCTGGGATGTCCTCCACCTGAGCAAGACGAGACCCAAATAGCCGTTCATGTTCAATCATGTTTTAATCTACGCCGATTCAGAGCTTCCTGAAACACTCTGAGCTTCCAAGGCGACACTTGCAGTGACTTGAGCACGGACTTGAACTACGATACCTGCCAAAGCTGCTGTCAGTGTGACGTGTCTCGGCCCGCTTCGCTCCGACGCTTTCCGCGACATCGGTGGACGAATTGCACCGGTGAAGACGGTTGACCAGTGAAGAGATTGAGAGACGTGTTTGGCCGTGGGAAAATCGGGGTCCACTAAAAAGGAACATGGAAATCCCCTTCGTTTTATTCGCTCTATTGAACCTAGCTGTGACACCATGCAGCATGAGGCTTGGTCTCAGAGCCACACGTTGAAGGTAGATCATGGATCGGATAGTGATTGGTGCTTCTAGAAAACCAGCCTCCTTGGTCATGCGTTCGTTTGGTGCCCAGCCTCACAGCGACGCATGTGTTTGGGCCAAGAAGGCTTCGAAAAAAAAGAAACATAGCACCCCAAACCTCCTGGTACGAGGAACAGACTCAACGACCCAGGTCGGTTCATGTCCAAGTGGCGGTCTGATTGTCCAAGCCCAGTGATTCCGGCCACCTGTGACAAATCCAGAAAAATCAGAACAGGGGACCGTGGTAGTACACCTTGTTCTTTTTAAATAATTTTTTTGCAACGGCACTCAACTATAACTCTTACAATATCTGAATCTCTGCACTGCGCTGCAGTCATGAACCACACAAACATCATATCTGGGTCCTTGCACTGCACTGCTGCAACCAAAAAACTCCAAAAATCCAAAACTACTGACCCAATAGTCTTAGCTGCACCAACATCCATTGGGTTGGAATTTTGGGATTTGTTGGATTTGCTTGATTTTTTTGAATTCTGAATCTCTGCACTGCACTGCAGTAACCAAATTCCAAAAAATCCAAAAAGATTTGAAAAATCCAAAACTATTGACCCAATAGTCTTAGCTGCACCAACATCCGCTGGGTTTGATTTTATCTGAATTCTTGGATTTTTGGATGTGGAGACTGTGTCAAAAACGACAGTTCAAAACACCCAAGACTATTAACCCAATAGCTTTTGCTGCACATACTTCCATTGGTTTGTTTTTTCTGTTTTTAAAGGTTTTTTTGTTTGCCGTTTTGGCTTTGGTAAGAAGACTTCAGCATGGCTATTTGCTTTGCATTTGCTGTTTTTGCCTGACATAGTAACAAAAAACAGTCAAAGTCTCAGGATCTGCCCCTTAGACATTGACGTGCTTTGTTTTTGCTAAAGAAGGCTACAACAATACTGAATGGCCCAATGGCTCATTAACCAAAATTAAATACCCATCTAAATATTGCGGTCTTGACCTGACATAGAATATGAAGAACGGACACATAGCAACACATTTGACAGTGCCAGGGTTCTCAATGAAACAGTATGTTCACTTTCAAATGATATGCCAATGGACATACTATGTACATAATGACCCTACAGGCCTGACAGAAGAGCAGTTAAACATGTGGTATATGGTTAAATTCAACCCTTTACCGTCAAGACCGATCTTGAATAGAGAGTTATTTTGTTGATCATCTACCAAAATATAGACATTAAAATGGCAAGTTTTTTCGTGTACAAAGTTACTAACACTAAAATACAATACAATAATCCTAACAACACTACTCTTAGAACATGTGTGTTGTTTGAAAAATGTTGCAGTATTATCAACATTTGTTGATTTTTTAGTTCTTGTATATATATATTTTTTTTAAACTACAATATAGATACTACTTGTATATACCTCTCTCACTTCCTTTAAATATCAAGAGCAAGAAGACATGGTGAAACAAATGCATACTAAACATGAAGCTGCAAAACTGCAAAGCACAGTTATTCACAAGTTGAGCTGCGTAATTTACATTTCTATCACATGGCACAAGGTGGAAGCATATGAGAAACAACAAAAAGGTGCACACTCACAGCGCCCTGCACTGGAAATTTAGTAGAAACATAGTACATCAAAAAATATGGTGTAAAATATATTGTCATATAGGTCCTTTGATAGATTATTGAACATATACAACAACAAGTGTTTTATTATGCCAATGAAAAAACATATGGTAGATACATTTGTATCATTGCCGAACATGTGATGAGGTAGAAGCATATGAGAAGCAGGAACAAATGTTCTACCATATCTTCTTTCATTGATAATATACTATTCCCGTTGTTGTACTTTACAATAGTTTGTCAAAGGACCTATATGACCAAATAACTTTTGATAAAACTATGTTTCAAACAAACTTAGAGTACAGTGCACTGTGAGTGTGCATTGCCGAAAATGTAATGAGGTAGAAACATATGAGAAACAAGAAAAAAGAAACAAGTGCACACTCACAGGGCCCTGCACTCTAACTTTATTGGAAACATAGTACATCAATATAATCATAAAAAGGCTTGTCATATAGGTCCTTTGATAGACTATTGTAAATTACAACAACAGTTATTATATAATATCACTGAACGAAGATATGGTAGATAAGTTTCTATCATTGCAACAATGTAATGATTTGAAAAACAATAAACATATACTACCACAGTCCCCAGCTCTCAAAGGAATCCTGGTAGGTTGACCACGTCTAGTAGATTCTAGTAGTCTACTTTGTTCATGTCTCGTGGTCTATCCAGTTCCCCGGGTCTTTCAAGACCGGCCATGTGTAAGTCTCCGACTCAGACAGGCAGAGTCTACATCCAGTCTTGCTTTCGAGTCTGGCACACGACATCTACTCGGTGCTTGCTTGGGATGTTTTGGGGGTTCTAAGTTCGTCCTCTTTTCTGATCCAAAAACAGCGGCACGCAAAAAGGATCAAATAGCTCGCAGCGGAGATCAAAAATAATGTGACAGCGTGGAACCTTCGCATGCCTTTTCAGAATGCGACACGGTGCCCAAGAGATCGTTCAATCCTTAACCGTCGCCCTTCGGTTTGTCGCGCCCGAAACAGCCCGAGAAATCGCTTGTTTCGCGACTGAGACGACCTCAGCGGGGTACTATGCCTATATAAGACATCAGTGGAACCTTGCGCAGGCGTGCCGAAACGACCGCTGCGCTGTTTTTTTTCTCGGCCGAGCTCGTCACGCAGTGGGGGTTCGCAGCGCAGCTCCGAGGTTCTCCTGGTGGTGGTGGGTTTGGGAACAGTTCGGTGAACAGGTCGGACGGATCTCAAAAAGGGAGGTCGCAGAGCCGACTCTGTGAGGTTTGCTTGGGGCGGCGGGACTTGTGGTTCCCACCTGAGAAGGTGTTTATGCGGGGGATTTCTTGGTTCCCGAGGGAGTGAAAGGTGTTTGTCCATCCCCAACAGCCGAGTGAGTCCTGTACTTGGATTACTTGGTTCACCCAAGCACGGCAGCAGCGTCAAGGCTGGGCACAACAAAGGGCAGGACTTTTGACGTTTGATATACAATGTTACTGTATTGACATTCGACCGCCCCAATCAACTACTATAAAGTATACTATATAGTAATACGTGTTCAATCATCTCGGCCATTGATGTTTGTGGCATGATATGGCTATGCGTGGCTCCGGAGCCAGCATCATTGTGATGGCTGAAAGGAAGAACCTGAATGCACCCAAACCATAACCCAGATACTTCAGCAAAACCCATTGCAGCGGTGGAGTCCGTCCAATCTGCAGCCGCAGGGTTCCAAACGGATGTTGTGGGTTTTCTCATGATGTGTAATGTTTTGGACAGAAAGATCCTCGTACATTCAGAAACACTTGGCACCCGGAAGCACCTCCATGATCCTCTATCAATGACTATCACTGATAAGTGTACAACAAACTTTACAATTATTACTTGTGGGCAGAGGGACATGTGCTCGAAACATAGCCGATATCCGTTTCAAGATGACGGTTCATGTCGTTTCAGATGGGACACGAAATATGACATACGTGGATAGCATTTGATTTTGCGCGGATGCCTTATGTTGGATTCAACCGGCCTCATTGCTTGTGGATTGACAACACTCAATTAGTTAATTTGATATGTGATATGTATGTTCAAAAAGGAGACCCCCAACTGTTTGTTTATGTTCCCTGTTCTGCTACACACCGATATCTTCCTACTACCTAGGCTAGATCCGCGCAACAGTGCATTTTAATGCGACCCAAGGCATGACAATCGACCCGTTTCCAAGACAGTCGAAACATACCTCACAACTCAACTGGTGTTCAACTCCTTCAAACATCTAGTCCAAAGGGTCCAAAAAAAACCACCGAGGCAAGCCGCTCCTGTCGTTCCCTGCCGAAGCGGCAGTGGCATTTGCTACCCTTCGAACACGTAGCACGGAGCACGTCAGCCGGGGCGACCGAAACAGCACCGCGACCAGGGCAAATGCGACCTCCTGGGACGAGCGATTCGCAGATCGGGGCAGCTTGGCTTTTTGGGCACACTTGGTCTTGTTCATACCCAGACGCGACCCTGGACCCTCCGTTCAGGGGCCGGGCCCATATGAGGGTCCTGCCCCGAAGCAATCCCGGATAGCTTCTTGGATCATCCCCAAGGTTTTTTTTTTGAGGTACAAAAAGTGGTTTAAAGGGTCTATACCTCTCAGGATGTCCTGCTTGATGACAATAATTACACGCCCAAAACCCGTCCTCAAAATTGGCAACGTTGATTGCGTTTGTTTTTTTAAAGGTGTTGTTTGCCCATCGTTGGACTGTCACCTGGATGTGATTGAGGGTGAACGTTGACAAAATGTCACAATGTCCATGATGTTTGGAGTCGGAGTAGAGGTCAATCCTTATATGTGGCTGTGATTTGATTGTTCCAACCATGTTCTGGCGGATCTACCGAGATCTTGGGTCTCGGAACCGACAACGAAGGATTTGTGACATCCATGGATTTCCCTGTTCTTTGGACCCTAGCCTAATAACTATATCAACAATCCTCAAAGTTTTTTTTTGGGGGGGAATCTCAAGCATCTGAGACTTTGAAAAATGGATCCCAGGGTTTGACCGTGTGTCCATTACCCCAGTGAACTTCTGAAACACGTCAACCCTACTCCAGGAGGGTTGCTGCAGCTCTTTCAATTTTCAACTTAAGGTATCTCGATCTCCCTTGTCTTGCTTTGAACTCCATTGGTTCGGTGGGAACCTCCCCAGGCTCTACGAGTACAGCGTTTGGACGGATTTCGATGAGAAGCTCCTGGGCGGCGCAGGCGGTTCCGTTCCGCGGAACCCGCTCCGCGCTCCGAAGACGGAGGTCGGAACGGAGGTTGGAACGTGGGTGGGAGAGGTCACACACCAAGACCCGCCAAACAGGGAGCTGGCTCACAGAGGTGGCATGGTAGGGAGAGGAAAACTCATGACACAACAATGAACCGTTTTGCTGTTCACGCTGGACATGGATAGATCAGATATGATGAGATATGGCGAGCAGCACATGTAGATCCAGGCTATCTCATGGCATGGTCATGCCAGCTTCCCCCCCTGCTGGAGACATTGATTCGGATGCTGTAGGTTTGCAATGGCAAGGACAGTACCAGCTACAGTCATTGACAAGTGCTGCACCTCTTGATATGACAATGTGTTGGAGTATCTCCCTTTTGTACCCCTTCGGTCAATATATTGCAACATTGAGTTTCGAGTTCTTGGGTTTATTATGGTTTATTGCTTTGATGATGCAACTTAATTGATTGAGAGACAAAGTTCTTCGTGCAAGGATTAAGGCCTAGCTTCGCCAGGGGAAGGTTTGGACCCACACGAGCGAGATCTCGACACGCAGGCGCCTGTGTCTACCGCATCGACATTTGGCAGGTGCCACGACTTAGATGGCAGATTGACGCTTTGATTTTGGATTGTTTTATACAGTAATATAGTAGTATATACATATAATATATCTTAATACTTCATAACTTCATAGGTGCTTGATGTGCATGGAAAATGGAATGAGGGAAGTTGCAGGAATTCAGTGGTGCACATACACACCATCGGGAAAAGGATGGGCTGCGAGCATGTATACTACAGCACTCTGAAGACTCAACGACTAAGAAAAGCGGAAAACAGAAAACCAAAAGCGCAAACAACCAGGAAAGGCAAACCAGTGAAACATCTTGCATGTGAAAATGACAAAATAAAGGCAACTGGTCAAAAGGATTCAAACGGGCCGCCCAGCAACAGGCAACAAGTAGGCGACCAAAAAGGCAACAAACAAGCCAACATTTATGTAAAAAGGTACACAGCGTTCAGTAAAAGTCAAAAAGCAACAACCATGAAAACACACACCGCCAACCAAAAGATAGGACAAGGCGCAAAAGAGGTGAGCAAAGGTGAAAGGAAACACATGCAAACAAGAGGTGAACAAAAGGATAAAAAGACAAAGGCATGCAAAACGACCGAAGAAAGGTTATCTAACCAACATATAAAGTAAAGAAGCATACAAAACAGGCAACGACACCCCAGAACAATGGCCATGACTTGAAGAACGCTACTTTCCTGTATTTGGTTTCATTGTTGTTTATTGTTACTGATTTCTTGGCTGTTCATCTCTAATTGTTTATTGTTTCAACATTTGTTCACGTGTTGCCATTTTGTTTGTACGTTGCCACCTTTTTTCAGCTGTTTGTGTGTTTGGCCCTTTCTTTGCTTTCCAAAGCTTCCTTTTGTGCATTGCCTTTTGCTTTGCTGCATGATGGCATGGTATTACCTCTTTGTTGCTTTGTCAGTGCCCCTGCCTTATCATTGGTAGCTTTGGTCTACATCATGGCTCTGTCCACTTGCATGGAGCCTCCACCATCATGATGCCACACGAAGTTTCGGGAGCGAATCGTTAACATTGGGAGTACGATGGATTTGATCAGCGTTTTGAAAATTTGACAACTACACTTGATCGCCTGTTCAGCTCCATGTTGCTTTCCCCTGCTTTCCCATATTATCCACGGCATGTTCGGCAGAACTGAATGCTCCGAAACGGAACCGTCCACCGGTGGCACCGGTCCGGCACACCCCCAGGCGTTTCGGGGCTCACGCTCCGGCTCCGCCCATGGCACCGCTCAGGTGGCCAAGATCCCGGATATTTGCCATGATCCATCGTGCTATGTCAGCCCGGAGAGGGACGTCGTTGGTCGTTGCAGGGTCGTTGGATCTGTTTGGTACGCGCGGCGGCGCAGCGTGTGCGTACCCAGGTATGGGTTGGGGTAGGGCCGGGCCTGGCAGGGTGTTCAGGTCTAATCTGTTTGCTAGCTGCATGATTTCCATCGCTCACCTGTAGGATTTGTTCCCTGTGTTTTCCTCATCTTGAAAATATAAGGAGGATCTCGTTTAGACATGTTTCGACCTTTTGTTTGTCCAGCCAAAATATTATGTCGGTGTCATCTTCTCTCTGTTTGCGTATCATTGCCATCAACCTACTTGCTGCAATTGGTGCTCGGGATGCTGCTGCAACTATGAGATCACTGATAAATGCACGCGACATGGGTGATTGCACAGTGATTTTCACCATGCCTCAGTACACAATGCTACCAATCAAGGATGTGGAGGATGTTTGCAGAGAAATGAAGCAAGCTGCACCGACAATCCATTTCTTGAGGAGAAGACGCGTCAGTTTGAGAGGAGCACCGGCCTGTCAAAGAGATGATGGAAACACATCAATCCACCTGACCGAAGACTTGAGATACGGAATGCAGACCGCATTTGAGACCAGATGATCGGATGATGCAGAGCGAATTGCTGAGTGCAAGTACTGAGCTGTGCTCCACTGGTTGTGCTGGCCGATGGACAAAACCACGACTGGTTGTTTGGTCAGGCTGAACATGTCGGACCTGGAGGTGTTGCTATCAGATAAGCACCAGATGTGGTTGGAAGAATCCCTTTGTGTCAGTGTGCTGTGAATTGTCCAGGGCCAATTGCCTGAATATCGGTCATCCATGATCAAGGTGAGTGTGGTGTGATTCAATGTGATTCATGAACTAATCACCACTTGGCAATGACAAGATTTATGGCAAGGCTGGAGACGAGGGCGTGCATCAGCGAAAAAACTCTATGAGTGGAGCGCCCCAAACAACCAAGCCTTTGGGGAACTTTTTATGAATTTTGGGAATGCCCAACTCATAACCTACAAAGCTTATAATTAGCAATTCTTGACATGGGTCGGAAACTGTACTCGTCTGGTGGTCGCTACCTGCCTGCAGCGGAGCTTTTGGACGAACATGACAGGCGAGTGCAAGCTGCAGAACAGTAGGATTCCTTCGGGTGCTGGCCACTGTGCCCGAAGGAAGCATGCAGGTCCTTACGCCCCACTCCGCCCCAACGAACTCAAAGTGTTCGATGATCCAACTAGTGTGTGCAGCCGGCTCGGGCAGGCATGTTTTGAGGTGGCCCAACAAAGCTGATCGTGCCGATGTTTGATTGATCAATGACTTCCCAAGACAGTGGAGTCCTGACTCCTACAAATCCACTTTTTGCAAGGGTAACCACATCGAAGGCTCGATGAGTTCAGCCTATCCTGCACTCCTGCACTTTTAAGATCTTTTAAGACTATGTTTTTTGTATGCAGCCTATACAAGATAGCCGCTGGGAGTGTATCATGTGTCAATGCTCGACCAACGGAATCTCCAACAAGGGGTGTTTGGACACAGGGTGTCGCACTCTGTGCCACGTCCCTCGATATTCCAGGAGTGCGCTGAGCAGTGCAAGCGTCCAGAGGCAACACAGGTGTCCAGCAGCCAGCCGTGTCGGAGCGTTACGGAAAGCATCAGAGAGTGCCGAGAGTTCATGTAAGGAGCCAAACCACCTAGCACTATGGCATCTATAAATATATACTTGAACTGGAACGCTAATGTTTTTTTGGTTCAGTATTAGAGCATGTGTTTGATGTGAAGGTTATGCTTGACTGCGTGAGCGCTTGAAACCACCTTGGGCTGGTGTTGGACATGAGATGTATAGTCATTACAAAGTAGCCTATTTATAGATCTCATATTAACTCTCATCTAAAAAATAACATAACACAATAAACAGTGTCAGGAAGAGACAACTACGTGTGTTTGGGTTGGAAATGACATGAAAACACCGTCCGCCATGAGATGAAACCGTCCGCTGGCACACACCAGGCCATGTGCCCCAGCCCCTTCACGCACCCTGGCGAGGGAGCGAAATGGAGAGTCGGAGAGTCTTTTCCACGTCTATACATGTACTACCGGCAAAGCATGTTCAAAAAACAATGCAGGTGCAAACCGAAGATTTTGTGTTTTCCTTCAGTCAGTGAAGCCATAGGGCTACTGTTCTTCATACTGCTATGGATCCTTGGTGACACCAGCGACTTGTTCGGTTCTTTCTTGGCCAATCAGGATCAAGCTCGGACAGGCCCTCAAACCGTGCTGAAGAACGATGCTGCGGAGAAACAATCAGAACTGAACATTCATCCTTGATAAAGACCAAGGGAAAGCACCCTACTTTCACCCGAGGAGATGGCAGAAAGATGATCGTCATGTTAAAGGACAAATACTTAGGGCTTGGAAAGCTTGCTGCTTGCTCAGTGGACTGTTGTTATGTTGAAAACTGAAACTAATTGTCCTTTTTCATGGTGAAGACGACGGCAGCGCGAACACAAAAAGATCAAGAAAGAACTTGCCTTTTGTTCAAGGCGTCGATGCAGCACAACACACTGATGATCGATGGGGTGCATAAGTGAGTGAAGCCTGAATGTTCCAGAGCCCTCACACCGGGGTCATGCAATTTGTTCAAAGAGGCAGGAAGTTCAGCCATCACTATACTGGTTATAGTTGAAGATGCTCGGTTCTCGCACCGGGCACGAGTGCTTTGGTCAATCTACACGGACCATCATTGGATGGTTGAGACTAATCTACTCAATCAGAGGACCTCCTTTTAGATTAACTCCATCTATGCACCTCACCCTTGATTTTGGAGGTCCCCGCAAGGGTGTCAGGTAAATATTGACTTGAGCAGAGTAGTTTATGATGCTTTCGACGCATACCCTCCCCAAGACTCAAAAAAGAAACTTGACAATCTGAAATGGCATTGATTGTTTTGTTATGTTCTTTGGTTTTATGGATGTTGCATAACATATTCAAAACATGTGCAAGCTAGCAAGCACCCAGAAATGGACGCGATCTTGGCTTTGGACCTGTGGCCCTAACCTCCACGCGACGCACCTGGGGTTCGGGATTCGCTCCCGGTGGCAGTCGACCCGAGGTGGCAGTTCTTCAAGTCCACCCGTGAGTGGCGCGAAGGCACCTTATCCACCAGGTCCACCTGCGAGGCCGGTCAGGTCGACTGTCGATGTCCACGGCGTCCAAGGCGGCGAGGTCGGTCGTCAAAACAGATCAAAACCAGACGACGAGCCGTTGGATGTTACTAGTAGCGAGGAGCCTCGTTCGTAGCGTCCTTGCTCCTAGTAGTCTATAAGGCCAGGAGCCGGTAGCGTCCGATCGCTCCGTTCGTAGCGATGCCAGGAGCTTCGTTCGTAGCGTCCTTTTTGGTTCGCTTCAAAGGGAATTCTGTTGAGATCGCCTAGTTCAGGAAGCTTCTGCGAGTTGTAGACCGGAGACCCATCGAGTTGGGAAGGACGCCATTCACGTGAAGGTCTGTCCTTGGTGTGGTTGTGATGAATCTTGGACAAACACTACAGTAGATTTGTTGAAGCGGAGCTAATGGTTGCTGTAGTCACAGTGCGTATAGCTGGTTGAAGATGGGCACTGGAGAAGCCAATCCCTGATGAGTGTTCTTGCCTTTCAGAGAGGTGAATAGTGTATAATACCAACCCAGGCAGTGGGTGACCTTTCACATCCCACTAGACAAGAACAGGTGGAACTGAAATCTCTATTTTCCAAAAGAAACCACTCGCGAGTCAGACAAGGATCTCATGGGTGATCGTTTTGGATGTGAACCAATGCCGCTGACATCTGCCGACACCTTCCAGAGGTTGGGTGTTCCCTCCGTGTCTCTCGATATAAGTGACCACCCCAATCCAATCAGCCAACCCTGTCCCAAACAATATGTGTCCCTATGTGTCGTGTCTTCATGCTTGAAGCTGGTGGGGATTGATTGTTTTATTTTCGGAGGGCGGGTAGGATCTTTGAGGATAAATATTGATGCGATATGATGCAATGATATATATATATATCTACTATGACTACAATAAGTGATTATACGTCATGAAACCGAAGGACCAAACACAATAGGACCTCACATGAATCTGTGTGTGTTTTATGTACCAGTGTTTTATGTGTTTTTTGTTGCAGATAGGATCTCCTTTGGGGCAGGAACCCACCTCCACCGGTGGCGCTGTTCCAGGCCGAGTCCTGCTACCCACAGCCTTGGATCCGGACCCAGGCGAAAACGTCGAGATTCGGGCAGAAACTGGGCAGACGAATGAAGCAAAACTGGACGTCCGGACTCCGTGGATAGAACCCCCGTGGATTGATCCAGCAGCTGACGAGTCAATTGCAAACCTGTTGATGAACAGCAACAGCATGAGGGCGGTACTTTTTCCAGGTTCCGGCCACCACAAGTCAGGAGAGGATTCCTACACGAGGACTCGCTGGCTCCGTGGCTGGTTTTCTGGTTCAGACAGTGCCTGGACTTGGACCAAACCGTGGCCAGGCGGAGTGTGCGACGGTGAGCCATTGTCACACGGACTGCCCCTACTGTGAGACAGTTCCTGGGTGGAGAAGGAATTCTTCGGAGGGAAGAGAGGGAGCATGCAGGAATGTAGACAAGCATGATCCATACTTGCAACTTGCTATGCTATATTTAGGCGGCATTGGCTACTCATCATGTTTTGCACGATTAACATGTTTTGCGAAGAGTCGCGGGGTTGTTTGGCAGATATTGTGTTTTTTGCTAACGATCACATGTGGTGCCAGAACATCGTGGCCGCATCAGCAGAGCCAAGCCAGTGAAGAGGTGAGGGATTGGCGTAGCGGCGTAGCATTGTAACATTCAACTGCCAAACCATACCAAACCCGTTCTACTAGTAACAAGGCATCGCTACTAGCAACAAGGGCATCGCTACTAGTAGCTAGAAGCTACTAGTAACATTCATTGCCAAACCCGTTCGAATCAGAGCAAAAATTGGACGACAACTTGTGACTTGTCTGAGAGAATCTCCATCCCACTCGCTCTCGTGGCCGCTTCGGTGCACGGACAATGAGGACTTCGGTGGAGTCCTAAACTGATTTGTTAGAAGCTCCATTCCAAGCAGGAACATGTTCTTGGCCATCCCTCCAAACAGAAAAAAAACACTCCACTTTTGGGAAGCGGTTCTATTTGTTGCGGTCGCGTGACGGTGTTGTTTTTGTTCCTTTACATGTGGTATCAAGTTATAGTCGTTTGTTGTCCAATTCGGTCACCATTAGGGCCTGGCTCACTGGCTGCCACTGCCTTGATTCGCTGAGGAAAACTACTGGGACTGGGAGAGCAAGAAGGGCAAGGTGCCTGGGACAGGGTCGGACAGGCTTCGGCAGATGGCCAAGGGCTGGGTGTTGCTTAGCACGTTGCCGGGTGCCAGTGCCGGTCCAGAGGAACCTGACCCTGAGGCTTGTGGAGTGTTGGGTGGCATAGACTTGTTGTTTTCAAAAGAAAAGCTTTTGACCCAAATCCTGGCTTTAGTTCAAGCCCAGCTTTCACTTTTTGGCTGCTCACAGTGCCATAATGGGGCAGACTTCCTGGCCTTCTTCTAGCTGTACGACCCCATTCAGGCATTCTGACGCCAAAGGTCGTTAAAACATTGAACCATGTCCAGAGTTTGGTTTTCAGTGAAACTCCCCACGGAGCCTCATCAGACACGTTGGAGACCGCCCGCATGTGCCAATGCGTCCGGGACCCGTCCATGACGATGTCGTTCGTGATGACATGCTTCTCTTCGGTCAAGCAGGCAGGGCCAGTATTCTTGCAAGTGCATAGTCAAGGCGGCCTGTCCTGTAAATGTTTAAACGTTAAAGCCATCTGAAACCATGAGAATCAGTCGCATCAGTCGTGTCGCACCCTCCAGGTCTGGCTGTTGAACGGGACACCCCTTTGACCATGGTTTCGGGGCACCGAATCCCCCGTGTCCATTCCCTCTGAGAGTGCTCTTTTGGAAATCACTTGCACCCGCAATCACATCCATAGAGTGTCTTGACAGCTCGTATTGAAACCAGTCCTGATATTGGGTGGAGAATAGTGTTTGCTTGGACATCCATGAAATCCCATGAAAGATTGGTGGCTATATACTGTAAGTCTTCTAACACTCTCCATTCTTCGGTAGTGTAGCCGCATGGCGCCCCCAGTTGTGGAGGTACGTTTGGATGTGAGCAGGTGTTGTTTCCATTCCCATGTTTGTTTCATTCTATCTGACACTGAGTTTATGGTGCTTTTGTTGCTGTAGAAATTTATACTTAGAATCAGTCATTGCTCGCCTATAGCTGGCTCTCCTGTTCAATGTCTAATCCACAAATTTATCGCATAGTTCATGATTCAACCGCACAAAAGCAATGGAAAAACCATCAATAACGCCGGCTGAGAAAAGCCGAGCACACACAGACAAAGGGTCAACCTCCCCCACCAGGCCAAGTGCAGCTTCATCGCGACAGCCACAAGTCTGCCTTTGTCGATGAGTGCCTGGGTCTTCGTGGTGCGGAAGTCTGTCGTTTGTTTTGGGAGGAGAAAGTTGACATGTAAGGACCACAAACTAGATGACCAGTCGAGGAATGTTGACAAATACCGGTTGTTTAAACATGTGTAAACATGTGTAAAACAGTTCCATCATGTTCCATCTATACCTGCAAACCACACGGATATTGAAAATAGAGCATTTTGCATGCATCATCATCATCATCATCATCATCATCATCATCATCATCATCATCATCATCATCATCATCATCATCATCATCATCATCATCATCATCATCATCATC